CGTTTGAACCCATTCTACGGATCTCAGTTGCGTTGCATTCTTTTACCTTTCTTTGTAGGTTACATTTGTTTGCCTCTGTCAACCTTTTAGGGTCATCATAACATCCAGCCAGAGGTCCCGTATTTAAGTTCCACAGCCGCACAACTTTCTCCCGTTCTTTGTGCACCGAACGACTGCAGCCATCCACCTAAAATTTGGTTGTACCCAATAAAAAGGAAGGAGAAAATATTGTCGTTATCAAGATCTATTAGAATGCTATCTGGAATCAGATTATTTGTGTTACCGATAGTGATCCTAGTCTTATCGGACACAATGTTTTGCGACTCCGCTTTCCGATACCGTCTGGAATTAAATCAAGTCACAAATCTAGTCTTATTTCAGTTGTTCTTTAAAAAATGTTCAACTTTTCTATCTTCTTTATTTTGTTACTTTCCTCTGTTGTTGTACATCACAATTCGCCCAGTCCGAGATGTCGAAAACTGAAGGTGTCATCCTGTCACAGCTGATAAAAAAAGCCAGCCTTAAAGCACGTTTCGCGTCCGTTGCTTTGGCTTTAACTATGGAGGAAGAGTTTAGCATTCCCCGATCCATGGTCATTGAAACCTTGTTGGCCAAGCGGTATCACATGCCCGAGGCTGCACTGAAACGAGTGGTGGAATACTTTGTGAGGTGAGTATCGTTCACGTGTTGCTACAACCAAATCTTCGTGCGCATATTTCATACTTGTTTGAGTTCAGAGTTTATGTGACGCAAATTCGTTCATGAGCATCTTCGTGACCAAGAAATTCGTCCATTGTTTGTTCGTGAGCGCAATGCTCCATTTTTTCCCAATCCGATACAGACAACATCCTCAGGGATTCAAAACGCAAACATTTGTCTGATCGAAACATGTTTGTGTGTGTCCATGAAGGTTAGAGTTCATTCAGTTGAATCTTACGTAATTAAGACGCAGACTACCTGACCAGGATACCGAATAATCTATTTCCCAATCAAACTTTCGTTACTTTGCCTCGAATCTCTTCCACGAGCGGATAAGCTTTTTTCATGGCTAATTCCAAAAGTTTCATACTGTTTCGGTACGACTGACGTCTCTAGCATCGATCGGCATTTTGTTCGAGGATGCATCTCTAACCTTCACAGAAACAGGCGTACCGTCCAATGCAGTGGATATTTGTATAGAAATGCAGTTGAATTTAGACCAAATTTAGTCATTCGCTCGATAACGAAATTTCGTCCACCCCGTCCGCCAAAACTGCTCCACGTGCATGGAGGAATTCGTGCCCCATCGGGTTCAACGAACCCGACTACTCACACTTTAACCAACTTGCCAAGCGGTTGACGGGTTGTGGCTGTTGCCACATGCAACCAACTTCGTGAGGCTGCAATTGGGAGTTTTGCCATCGATGTAAACCAAACGAAAGGAATGGCTAATTTATACATACCTTGTTGAGAGGGTTAAAATCAAGGGGTTGACAGATTTAGGTAAGCTACCCGTGGTTCAGCAACTGTGGCCTGGGATTTCCGTCATTTCACTCGACACGGGTAGGCAGTGGTTGGACTTCCCCAGAAAACAAATTCTTGGACACACTTCGTGAGAGCAGTTCCTGGAGCAGGAACAAGGCACCACTCACGCCAGGTGGAACCCGGTCTTTTTGAGGGATATTCAGCTATACCAACTGAACGGTCTCTATTTTACTCCAAGGTTGGTGTTGCTCTTGAACAGTAAGGGCTGGGTCAAGTTTTCAACTATTAGGTCGGTAAACGAACTACATCCTGTAAAAACTAACCAGACTTTTTTGTCAACTAAGGTGTTGCGCTGAGAAGTTTCGTATAACCAGGTCTGAAAATAAACGAGTATGACTTTGGAAACTGTGACGGCTGCTATAAAAACAAATGTTTCAGGACTTCACGCTCATCATTTGNTTTAATCCCGGGTGCGACAAAATTTTGAATAATCATGAAACTATTCCTATCCTATCCTTGATATCAGGATTTAAAAACCCTCTAAAAACAGCGTATTTGGATTTCGCTTTCCAAACCAGAAGATCAAGTCACCTGACTCAGCCGTTAGCTTGCACCGCTCCGCTTAAAAGTGTCCTAAACTACACTATAGTCTTGTAATTGCAGTAAATATCTTTAAATTTTATTTATCTTATATGCAATAAGGTAAATAGTTTCCAGGATGTGGAGTAGGCTGTTATCTATCAACGATCCCGGTGCTAACGTCATCAAATTATCACCCTGGGGATATGTTCGAATCTCACCACCACTGCCTGCCTTCCCCCGTTGTGTTAAATAGCATCCCTTTGATTGGCCTCTTCTCCCTTCCTTTGTCTTTGTATATTCAGTAAAAGGAAGTAGAATGAAAAGCAAAAAAGAGAAGTACTGAACCTTTGGAGAGTTATGCAAGCTTTGAGCCAAAAAGAGACCATCGCCATAATGCTGACAAAAAAGGGGAAAACGGAACAGAAAGCTTGCAAAGATGGATTAGAAAGCTCAGCAAGAACACTCCTCGGTCAAGGTCTGGGCAAGATAGGGTACTAAGGAGTTTCTGTGGGCAGATGCCCTGCATATACGTAGTGCACAGCGGCTATGTTGGAATGAAAAATGATCAATTTCATCGGAAGTAGTAGGAGATAACTGAATTCTGTGCAGTACCGACCGCTTCATCAATTTAAAATCGGTGAAATTGATGGCACTTGGCCTGACACGTTTCGCAATTGAGGCTTCTGTTGTTTCTTTGCGGATGGTTGTAATTCTCACAGCGTCAGCACCCTAACATGGTTCGGAGTTCCAGTGCAGGATCAGCTGTGTGCAAAAATGTGAGACAGTGGCTCACCGAAAAATGTTGGCTCCTTCGGTGGGAACTAAATTCAACCCCCAGTTTGATATAACAATGATCTGTGCTTCTTCGTTACCGCTGTCCGCAGGATAATTTGGGTCGGTCCGATTTCGATCGGCTTAATATGGTTCACCTCCTTGAATATTGAAGTTTGGCATACTGATGTTGTAATCATCCGGTTACTCTTCATGACAATTGATCTGTGATCCGAGATTTGAACCCTTCATCGTCATCCAAATTTGGTTGTAGTAGCTTTTCTGTCTGGGTCGACACCACACCTGTATTTTCCGGTCTTTGGGCGGCTAGCTACTCCCAGTTCCAAGGTCTGACTCGCTGGTTCGCATTAATAAACAGTAAACCTATGGAGTTTTCCCCTTCTATTGTGTTCATCGCATAAAGGCATGCAATAAAAATATTGCCTTCCTACATACCCTATATCGTTCCAGGGCATGCAAACAAAAAACTGAGCATGTGAAATACTAATCTTTTTCTTATTACTTAAATAACTGAATGTATAGTCTACTTTCAAGAAGGGAAAAACAGCAATCAGAAGGCTGTGTTTGGTATAACGAACTGGAACAGCCAGGCGCAGTGGTTTATTGCTGTCACCAGCGTGCTTTGAACCCTTTGATCCGAGGTTCGAGGCCCGTCACTGCCAGACGACTTTGGTGGTAGGCTGCTTTGCTGTCACCCGGTTCTATACCACGCCCTTCTGTGGGGCCTTTTGTGCTTCACCACTCCAAGTCCCGCGGGGCTTAGGTTGCCGGTTTCCGCCACTGTGCACCAGGTCCTCGTGACTATGGGGTTCGCCTCGTCTGCTGTTCATCACACACTCAGGTGTACAATCACAAAAGAAAGCAGAGGACGTAATGGTATTAGAACGCATCACCTCCGAGGTTATGAAGTGGTTCTCAAAACCATTTGATTGCCACCACTAATTTCGATTAATTCCATTGAAAATTACCCCAGAACAAAAAGACGATCGGTGCTTTTAAATTAACCCTTGCATGATGTTAAAGCAATGCAGCTTGACAGTCCGTTTAAATCCACTTTGAATAATATCTTGTTTTTGTGATCTTTTCCCCTACATCTGCTTTTGCTTTTGTAGTTTCGACAAAGATTGTTCCGCCCACTTCACCACAGAAAGTCGAATGCCTCTCTCGTGGTTTCGCAGTTTGCTTACTTTTCTTGAATCCTATCACACCAGTGTGGATCCCGAGCAACGTGCACAGCTGATCAAACTGTGTCGACGTCACGAGCATCCCCAAATCACCCCAGAGATTCGACAGATTTTGTCACTGGTACCTACCACCCAAAACGGGGATAAATAAATTTCTACTTTGATTCGTACCGTTCTGAGTTTTGCATTCTTTTTGCTCTTTGTCACTTTGATAGTGATGCTGATCAATAATAGAGCTGTGTATTGCGAAATCACTCGTTGTATGTTGATTGTTCTGCTGTGTTTTCGGTTCTTCAAATGCTTAGCCCAACCTGCACAAAGTTCACTGCTCCTAAAAGCCAAACAAATTGGGAACCTTTCTTTGGTCCTCTTTGACCTTTCTGAAGTCTGTTTGGCAACTTGAAGCGCTTGTTCCTATGGTTTCATATATAAGGCATCAAGACAGTCGTCAAGATAAGTCTCCTCAGACTGACGAGAAGACGAATTTCCTATAGTGCTAAGTTATTCTCCGAACTAGTCATTCGGGTATCGAACCTTTCGGTGCCAAACAAGTTACCATTGGCAACGTGTGACTGTCGTGTCTTCTTTATCGAATGTTACTGTTACATAACTCCTGTTTCGGACTCATTTGGTCAGTCTAACCGATTCTGCAGTATTGATTTGAACTAATCCTCCATTATCATCATCATCGTACAGCGAAATACAGTGAGGCAAACTTTACTGATCGCTGCCAACTAATCCTCCTCCAGACTTCATCTTCATGCACAATCCTCGTTCATTCGTTGGTGTCAGACCAAAAAGCTTATTGACTGTCTCCGAAGATGTTTGAACAAACCTGAATGGGTAATTCCGGTCGGCCCCAGTGATGGCTAGTTCGCAAAGTAATAGCATACTCACTTTCAGTACGAAATCCGGATGGATAGGCACTACTTATGAGCCCTAAGAAGGACGAAACGCAGGTAGTGTGTTTCATGAGTGTGTGGTCGACTGAATAAACTGAGGATTGTGCTTAAAAATGGAGTCTGACTTCATGGTATGCCCATATCAGTGTCCTTTTTCCCAGGCCTCAAAACTCACAAGCAATCATTAGTTCAGTGCAAACTCTGAAATAACCACCTGACTTCTCCCCTCACAGATAATGTGTTGGTACACAAACCAACTATCCATTCACTACATATTTTCCAGAGAAAAATTTTGTAGCAAAAGAAACGAAGTTTATCAAATCTAATACCGCGATTGTGTATCAGGATTAAAGCTGTTGCTTTACGAGTACACAGCAATTGAAAGGCACGGCCAGCTCTCCCTGATGCGAATGAATGAAGACCAGGGGAAGGAAGTATATTTCATCTGGATGAGGTCAAGGTTCCGATGCACACTTACTGGGAAGATTCCATAAGTCCGCTTTTTCTTTAACGGATCAGTTTAAATCATCTCATGCAAGGTTGAATTATAATGAAGAACCAGGTAAATAATCAAAACGGACCTAACCTGAGTCGGTTTCCAAGGTTGGTCAGTCACAGAGTAGACCGTCAGTTGAGAACAACACTGTATCCAACCACAGCTATTATATCGGTACGATCATTTGTCAATCAGCATTACAACCAGTTAGAGACGTTAGCAGCTGTTCCGACTCCAAAACGCTGATAACCCAATGAACAAATTTCCAGTAAAATCTAAAATCACAGACGAACTACCAACAATAACGATATTCAAAACAAACTCATATTTCCACTTGTACTTTTAACCAAACTGTCAGTTTGATATGAACAAATATGATGATCGGTTTCATTACCAATGTTTTCAATGAGCTGAAAGGTATGCCAACGCACGTGTCCCCTAGTCGAGGACATTGGAACGACCTTCAGTTGTCGGCTAAACGAAAATATTCCTGAACCAACGTAATCGTTGAGATCTTGCACTTCCCCACTGATCGACTACGATCATCACCTAAAACACTGCACCTAACTTCAGCATTGCTGAGGTTATGATGATTCGCTCGAATAAAAGTTTCTAGTCCAAAGTGAAAGCAGTATCAGGCTTTCGCGGAGGGTTAATAAGTCAAAGGCTGAAATCACGTGAGTACTCAGTATCTGGGTGGGAAAACCTAATTTCCCTAAAAATTGCATCAATCAATGGATTTGGACCAATCGTCGCTAAGTTGCCGGTTTTTTCGCGATGCGAGTGAGTTGTTATAATCCAAGGGACCGGACGGAATACTGCAACTTAATTGCTCCTTTCGCTCCATCGGTGCTCTTTTATTTTCCAAATGGTGCGCAACCCTATAAATATAGCACACTTTTGCATTGTTCAAGGCAGTTTTCTGGCGTTTCCCCTATATGTTCGCACTGTTTTACGAATTTATTTTGACTGGAGTCATCGAGAAGGGTTTCGTCGAACAGTTTCAGTTTCGACAAACATTAACCATACACGTATGTATGCCGGTTTTGGTTGCTGTCTTTTTGCTGCCCATTCGGATAAAACGGCATAGTGAAGAACGTTACGATAAAAACGAATTACAGGGGAAGACAGAGTTCATATCGACTGGGGTAGCAGGAAAGATGAGTAGATGCATGAGCGCCATTCCTTGCAACACTCAGCCATATTAGTGAGTGTCTCTAACCACTAACTACCATCAGCTTGGGGTCCGCATCTGGGGAGCCCGACGGAACCTATATGATCCAGTGTCCTGGTTAGAGTTTTCACATCCTCATGCCAGTTTGATCGCCCTTTACCCTCTTCAATCCGCTGCCTGCTTCGACCAACGTTGCACACCATGACAACCTTTTCGAACAAGATTGGGTGATATGTTGACTGACAACAATTCCGGTTACATATTCTCTTCAAATCTTATTCGCATTTTGCCAATGCGAATGCAAGTTTTTCGAATAGGCGATAGATTTTTGTCTAAAAGAGCAGATTCAATAAAGTCATGTTGTTCGGTTGATGAAGGTATCGGGCTGCGGGACACCGGTGATCAACCAATACATGTGCGCGTTTATTGGAGAAAATGTGCCATAATGGACAAACAGTAGATGTTAACCGTCAGCCGAAACAGAAATATGAGTATTACTGTGACTAGTGGTCGATGTGAAATATTCCAATATCGATTCCCAGTCGACCCTGTTGGTGAATAGTGAAACGGCAAGCGCGCAATGTTGACATCTGTCTGACGAGTATGGGAAACAGAATTGTAGTATTCTTGGGAATCTAGTGGTGCTCTAATTTCAAGCGATAACTCCTGCTTTGTAGCGCGCAATGATCAGCAATCGCCTTTGATAAATTGCCCCTACTGTCTACACAGTTGCTTCATCAATGGTGGTAGGATAGTGAAGGGTTTAGCCTCACGTCTTTTCTATGATGAAGGACCGAAACACCCTGAGCTTCATAACATTTCATTGGATTTGGCAGATCTGGTATACTGAATCACAGTTCTATTTCACGGTTGTGACACCTTGAGTTTCCTTGCGGAAGGAATTCGATGATCCTCGCTACTGCCTCGTTTGTTTGGCGTGGAAGAAATAATGCAAGCGGGTTAGCAACAGTTATGTATCCGGAGGTGATTTCGTTGTCACCCAGCTCCGATGGATGTGCTTCACTGCCTAAAATGTGTGCCACGCATGTATTAAACTGCACCCTATTTGCATTTGCTGCTCCAGGGTAGAGGAAGCTGCTTGGAGGTCTGGAGATAATGAGAAAATTAAATACGGATAATCACACAGATTCCGCATGGTAGGTTTCTCCGGTCTTCCAGGCTGAAATCAGAAATACTCAATTGCTTTCTTCGGGTCATTGCTCATCTTTCTATAATGTTTAAATATGTGCGCATGCTGAGCTAGACTGTATGCTCTGTGTGTAGATCAAACGGGTTCATTTTCTTTCCTGTCCACGTTCCCAATTCGTGCTTCCGTTTCTATTACAGAAGAACCTGATATTCATCTGCACATGCACTGATGCTTCGATATGCTTCGTTTAACAACTAGTTCGGTGTGTACACCCAAGTTTGTGGGATTGAGCGCATCACGAGCCAAAAAATACTATCCTTCCTGGCATGTACCGTATATTTTGGATGATTATCAAAATGTTACCCGATCTAAACCCAATCCCTACGAGACATGGGATCGGGAGTGGAAAAAAGCCGGCATCAGTGCTCGTGAATTGCAGCCGTTCGATATTTCACATTTACCCGGTCATTTAAGATCTCGATTGCATCCGAATGTGGAATTTTTCCAACCCAAATATCGATCGGAAATGTCGTTGGATTACAAACGCCGTTTGTTTGGTGCCTATGGCTTAGCAAGCGGTGTCGATCCAGCCACCTTGTTTGTGGAACCACGTACGGTTGCGTTCGATCAAGCAGTTGAACAGGCCACAACGCGTCCGATTGATGAGGTGTTGGACGAACGACGCCGTGATGAACAAGCGAGATCTGAGGCAACCGAGAAGCTGATGAAGACTATCAAGACTAATCTGGCCAAAATGCCAGAATTGTTGACTAAGTTTGAGGCTCAACGGCAAAAACAGCTAGAACAAGAGGCAGCGAAGGAGCTGAAGAAGAAAGCTATTATGGAAGAGGTATGAACGATTATGGCAACTCATCGCTTTGTTATCTTGAGCTCGTCACTTTTGATTTGCAAGTGGTTCAAACGTGTGTGTTTATTCGATACGTATAAGTTCAGTTCCAGTTTATTGCAAGTAGTAGCACAAAACACATCGATACGTGTTTGTAATTCACTGATGGACTCTTTCTGAGAAGAGATTATCCGATCAAATACCCACCATTAAAGATGCCAACTTGAAATTCCAGACAGAAAACGCACATCTGGGGCCCAAATGTGAGCTACCTGAAATCCGCTCTCTATTTTCCCCCAAACTGTTTATGCGAACGCTTGGTCTCCCATAAATATGCAGCCACAGCCTAATAAAAAGATTATAGCCCATTAAGTCTCATTCACCGGCACAGCAAATAGCAATTATTATAGTCACTTCGTCTCAGTCTAATCAGGTCATCTTGCCGCATATCAAGCTTGGTCTGATAAAATACCTGCAGTATTCAGCTAGTCGATGAAGTACTGAAAACACGCTTGTTTGCTAACTTATTCGGATAATATTTTTTCGTGAGATATATGAGTGCAAATATCTTTTATAAGATAAAAAATGCGAAGAGGGCATGGCAACATGTTTATTAGATTCACATACGAGTTAAACTGGTTATGGGATTCGCAGTGATTACATAATTGTTAGTTCATTCGATTGTCAAGCTTATTCGGGATACATCGCGAGTTGGGTCATGCGAATACAAACTTGTCCATCACTGGGCTCTATTTACAATGTACTCTGTTGAAACAATAAAAGCGAAACTGTCCATCTACAATTAGCGTCTTTTCTTTCCATTTCGATTTTTTAATTTCTCATGCTTTGAATACCTAATCTATTACGTTCGAACTCGTCGTATCTTTAGTCTACCGTAATTCTTTCTTGCTTGCTTTCAGGCCCGTGATCGTTTCGGCTATTACGTCAGCCCACAGGATCCCAAGTTCAAAAAACTGAGGGATGAACTGGAAGAACGTGAGAAGTTAAAGCGCAAAGAGAAACGCAAGAAAGAGGCCACTCAGAATTGAGCTCTTGTACATATGATGTAGAGTCAGCAGTACATTTCTAAACACAGAATTCCTCCGCGTTTGTAATTCGAACTCTTTTCATCTACATACTGCACGACTGCCATAGAGGTGTATCAGGAATTCCCGTACGCCATGTAGTTCTCAAATTATCAGTGTTACTGCTGCAAACAACCAGCAGTTAACAGTCACTGGTCATTCGTGTAGATTTCTATGTATGCCGAACCAAGCCCGGCTGCTGTCTTGATTGCCTGTGTTAACCACGTCAACTGGGCTGTCCCCGGAACTTTGTACTGCTATCCACACTGCATTCCATGCATAGATACGCACACGCGTGCACCTGTGTGCGTACGCACTTGTGCACCAGAGCTGGGTTTAGGCTAAGCAGAACTCGACACCAATGATCTATAATTTTTAACCAATGTTGGTCCGCAACAGCGAGCTTTTCTATCTGGTGTACGAGAATTCCTGATGTACCCGTACATGACGAGATCAGGCCGCGTGTGAGAGTTAGATCTGTTTTGTCTAGTATTCTCGTTGTAATGACTAGCCGATTCAATATTGAGCTTCTTCTAAAGGTGCCTCGGTGATGGCGGTTGACTGTCCCTCTTCGCACTAGTGTTTGTGATCAGGGCGAGTATAACTTGAGCCAAGACACGTCCTCACATACATTCGTTATATAGTTCGAAGTATTTGTGTGGGTCTGAATCTGGAAGTTCGGAATATTGTAATCTATCAAACTGGGGGTGCTAGGTGATAATGAAACGTAAATTGGAAATCTTGTCCTGTAGGAAATGCACACAGTGTCATCTTTACGTGGAAGTGATTCTAATCGGAAACATCAACTTGTGATTTTGGGAACCCCTATCAAGGTTAAAGATGTTTTGTGAAACAAATGTTGCATGCATGCGGTATTTAAAAAACATTTGGACTGGTTGGTCGACACCCCGGGTGTTCTGGTGGATTTGCGTCGCTTTAAATTTCTAACCGAGATAACAGCAAGTACCGCATCAAGTCTTCATTTTAAGATTGGTATAGCAGAACTCCCCAAAGGCCTTTCGATTTGTATCGTTAGCCAAAACATAAACCGAACGACGAAATAACTGTGGATATAAATTCCACTTTAAAGATCGTCTGTCGTATTTTTCCCGTGGTTATTTGAATCCGGATGTTTTATCCTCTTGTTGTGTTTTGTCGAAGCAATCAGGAATTGGCTGCTTGGTCCCCCGTTGTACAGCTAGAAACATTTTTCCATAATGTTTCTGTACCATGAATACGTGTCTGGTGCCCACTGGATTAGACCTTGATGGGTAGAACAACGGCATTCCCGGGTATACTCATGTTGCCACATGCAGTGCCCTCCGTGTGATCAGATCGAATTCATACTGGTTTGTACAGTTTTCTGTACTTTCCCTGATACGATGAGTTATCGAAAACCGCTTATTTTGCCTCCCAGATTTAGTCTTCAAGGTTTTTCTTGTTTTTTTTTTATTACACATCTAAGTGTGACGAACAGCAGACGAGGTGAACCCCATAGTCACGAGGACCTGCTGTTCAGTNGTGGAAACCGGCAACCTAAGCCCCGGGACTTGGAGTGGCGAACCACATAAGGCCCCGATAGGTTAGGCGTGGCATTGAACTGGACAACAGCAGAGCTACCTATCACCAAAGTCAGGTGGCGGTGGCGGGGCTCGAACCTCAGACCATAGGGTCCAAAGCACGCTTGTGACAGCGAATAGACCACTGCGCCATCACCACCCTTGTTCAACAATTCATAAAAACTGAGATACACAGCAAATTTTCACTACCTATGCCATTCTTCCACTGATTCGACAAAGAGATTTCACTTGTCAGGAAAGTGCGACTACTTGTCCGGAAGCTTGGAACCGACAAGCACTCCACATTTATTGACTATCTTCTTCCCGATCATCATGACGAGACTACACCTTGACGTGGTGTGATCGCTTGTGCATCTCTCTGACCCAACGAGCTACACCGAATGGTTTTTGTCAAGCCTGGAAGGTCAATGGGTAGAACTCAGACAAAGTCCAGTCTCCTGATCCTCCAGATTGGGGGTTCGACTAGAATTTGTGTTTTAGTCGGTAAAACAGACGGAGGAGTAATTGATCCAGGAAAATGGGCCTCCACGTCGCTTCACCCGCTGCCTTGCGGCTAGGTTCTTGTCAGAACTAAAGGCTTTGGTTGAGAACCCTAATTGTTCTCCTGATTAGTGGCTGGACACCCTGGCAGTTCCCGTCCACTAAACCCCAATGCATATGCATTGCGAGTTTGGTAGCGCTCAGCGAAGTTCGCTTTTGTGTATTTCGCTGTACGATGATGATGATGATCTTCCTGAACAACCTGGGGATTCCAAATTCGACGAAACATTGTGTGTTGATCCAGACTTCCGTGACCGCAATCCATGCACGACTAGGTACAGTTTCATGTCATCTAATCACCGTTCAGGAAGCCAATGTTACCAATTTTACACCGGGTGAACATGACATCTGAGTCAGTACATATGATGCGTCGGCGCAAACGGTTACGTGATTGGAGGACGCTCGTTCAAACAATCATATGGCCTGTTACCTTCTACAAAACATGCTCTAATTTCATCAATAAAGATAAGCATTTGCTGCTATCAATTTCATATTTCATTGATGTCCTCAGTTCAGGTTGGAGCCAATTCAGCTCTGAGCAGTACATTACGGGTTCTCGTATTTCTACATTCAGTACTGTTCCCATTATCAAACACTGATACAACGGTGATGCGCAAACTGCCATTTACCTCGTTCAACAAAGCACTCAAAGGGAAAGGAATTTCAAACACCTACGACATTCGTCGTCAAACTCACCAGTCGGGCTTGAGTTCTGGCAGCCACGATCGCTGGTCAGATCCGGTGGAATCAAGTTACCAAAGGGTTTCATGAGCACTTAATCCCTGAGCGACATGGTTGTCCGAGTGAACATGGTGGGTCCGCTGGCGGAAGGCATTAATCACCATTAGAATTAGCGCATTTAACAATTGATGAGTACATGCAAGCGTAGAAGGAAAGTGATCGACATTGGATGCATATAACTCGGTCTGCTCGTTATACGATTGTGTCAAAAGCTTCAAACCAGCCGGCTGATGGGGTGAATTTCGGGCACAAGTTTTCAAATATCACATGGGGTCTAAGATGTTTATTATGTTGTTCCCTGATACTGAGCGGCAATGTGCTGGAATTTCCATTAGCTTCCTGCGAGAGTTGCCAAGTACGATCACATTTGATTGGTTACGTAGTTCATGCGTGCTTTTCAAACTGGTCTTCTCAATGGAAATGAGCTCACTTAGGTGTGGGACACTTCCCTAATAACCTGTAGCTCCATATGCCTCACCATTTCGGTCACTAAATGCTGGATTGTATATGGGAATCCCGAGTCCATTCATCACTACAGGATTGAGCATGGACAGAACTGAGCCACTATCATTAGGCGACCCTTTATTTTAAAAAAATGCGGGACACGCACAATGTGAGTAGAAGCTCCTGTTAACTGGACTATGAGGATGCATTTGCGATCAGTTGACATGATCCGAATGAGCAGACAAACTGCACTGATTGAATCTTCAATTTGTCACTGCACCTTTGTTTGTGTGCAAAAACGAACAACAGTGTTCTTCCCAGCGTGCCTTCATGTATCATTTGTTGTAATTGGGACGCCAAAGCAAAGATTGGACTAAAGCCTAACCAGTTATCCTTCATTTAGATTGGTTTCCCTTAGCTGAAAATTGCCCATTGCGTCTAACCCGCTGTGGTCTGCTCACTCTCACTGCAATACTTACGACAGTTGACAGACGTGTCTCAGTGTTCCGGTCGTGATATCGACCATAGCTCAGACCCATAACCTTTTTCAATTTCTTTCTTGACTTTGTCAGAATAATTCAGAACTACGGTGGAACTACCCGGAATTATATCAGAGCCTTGTCTGGATTTTCATTCCCTTGGTTGATTAGAACGGCTTTCTGATTGAGTCTATGAGCGTTAGTGTAAACCTATTCTTACGGATGTATCGTACCGTCATATGCCACGTACTGATTTGCAGTTTACAGAGGGGACAGGATGCATGTTATTCCTGTTTTATTACAAGCCACGGGAAGAAACGGTACAGAAGGACGAGCTGTGATCCTGGTCTTGTCTCGGTACCGAAATGATGTCGGAGTTTAGGAATTAGTTCCCGCCTTCACAATGCAGACAGCCTGAAGCGCCGAGGAAGTTCATAGCTTGGCATTGTTGTCGGTAGGGCGGGGGAGACGGGATAAACGCAATTCTGAAATGTGAAAGTGAGGTAAGGGTTGTTACATTTGGTGTAGAGATGTGAAATCCACCGAAAGCCCTAATTGTACAAAAGGAAAATAACCTAATGACACCAACCCGTGTATGGCACGTTAGCTCTGTGTATTAATGTCATGTTGAGAAATGGCATAGACGCCTGACGGTTGAAAATCCAAGGGATTGAATTTTCCAAGTTAAGTTTTCGGCTGTGTCGTTTTGTCAAGTGTCCCAGTGTTTGAACTTTGTGCAAATTGGTATTTCTGCAACAGCCAAAACATGTCGACACGATCTTACCTTCTGAGCAGTCCATGAGAACTATGTCTAATCTGTATAACGATAATTAGGCTTTAAAGTAACAATTCGCTAAAAATCAAGAGCAGTAATGATCCTCAGGTGTGAATACAAACTCGAAATACGGGGTTTAGATGAGGGTTGTTGCGTATGGTGTAGAGATGGGGACTCAGTTGATAGCTACTTACAATCCTGGTTTTGTTTTAACAGTACTTAATTTTTTCTCAACAGCCATGGGTGTTAAGCCTTTTGTTGTCCAGTTGTTCTTGACGGATGCTCGGATGTCGGGTGATTTAGCACACAATACTAAATTTCACGCCAGCAAGATCATGGGATTCTGAGCAATTGCCCGTTCTACAGTGGCTGAGACTGGAGGTCGGAGGGTTAATCAATCAGTCA